AAAAAAAAAAAAAAAAAAACCAAAAAGAAAAGAAATTTAGTCTTGGCTGGGCAGTGGTGCACACCTTTAATCCCAGTATCAGGAGGCAGAGGCAGGGGGATTGCTGTGATTTCAAGGTCTTCCTGGTCTACAGAGTGAGTTCCAGGACAGCCAAGGCTACACAGAGAAACCCTGTCTCAAGAAAGAAAAAAACAAAAATGAAAACAACAACAACAACAACAAATCAGTCTCTAGGGGCTGGAGAGGTGGCTCAGAGGTTAAGAGCTCCCGTTCCTCTTCCAGAGGACTAGAGTTTGATTCTCAGCATCTGCACCAAGTGTCAAAACAGCCTGGCACTCCAGCTCCATGGAATCCCATGCTCCTTTTGGCCTCCATGGTCATCTACATGCATGTCGTCAGGCTTTACCCCAAGTGCTGTTGCCTAGTTCGAGATCTTGTTGGCATTTGCTTATTCTGTTTGCTCTCCTATTAAAATCTGTCTATCTGTCTGTATCTCCCTGAATGAGTGAGTGAATTAGTGAGTGTTCATTGAAAAACCCTAAGATACTATACTATGTACTGGTGTCTTGTTTTTCTGTGGGGAACCAGAGTGACCCAAGACGTTCCCAGGTTCTGATGAAAGGACAAAGGGAACTCTAGTCCCATGTCCTTGTCTAGGAATGCTCTTGATAGGCCAGTCTAGTGCTGGAGAGGTGGCCCAGCCATTATAAAGGCTAGGCTCACAACCAAAAAAGACAGAAGCCCAGATAGCTCAGTCTGTACAGCATGAGACTTTTAATCTCAGGATCATGGATTCGAGCCCCATATTGGGCTCCACTTGACCGAAACTAGCAGCAATACAGACTCTGAACTTTGAGGAGCTCTGAGAGGGCCAGAGATGAGAAATAAAGATGACAAATAAGAAAAACTGGGACCAGGAGGGCTTGTATAAGTTGACTTATGCCAAACAAGCTTATTAAGAGGTATAGCATCGTTATACTATGTATATACTATATGACATCACTAAGGTCAGCAAAGAGCTAAGTCAGATGATGGCGAAGAGAAAATGGGATACCTCAGATAGAGCTGCCTGAGGACTGATAGCCACAGCCCCGGGGCAAAAGTCAGGTTCCCAGAAGCCACAACCTTGGCTCAAGGCATTAGCTCCAGCCCTAGTCAGGGCTTGCCAACTCCACTCCTGGACAAGGACATGGAACTAAGGCTCTTTTTGTCCTTTCACTGGGGCCTTTGAGGAAGTCGTGAGTCAGTCTGGCTCCCCACATTTCTCTTTCAGAGGGAACATCAGACTTACATTGTAATTACTGCTTTTGTTATTTCTTGTCACACTCTTGCTAGTGGGAATTTCTTGTAGGGAAAAGCCTTTCTTCTACATACCATATATAATAAATAGCACTCTCTGATTTTTTTTTTTGCTATTGTTGTTAAATAGATAAGTGAATGGCAAATTGTTAACTATTGAAATTTTATCACACTCAGCTGCTTTGGAACTAGCTCTGTAGACAGGCTGACCTGGAACTCAGAGATCCACCTGCCTCTACTCCCCAGTACTGGGATTAAAGGCTTGTGCCACTGCAATCTGGCTTGGAATGTAGTTTTAGATTTGATTAACTAGAACATTTTGGGGATCAAATGCTGGTCCCAACGTGGTTCCTATTTAGACTCACACTCATTTCTAGGTTTAGTTCTTTTACCTATAAATGGAATCCTTAGACTAGATGTCTTCTCAAGTTTCTTTTCCTCCTCGTTTTACTTCTTCCTCTCTTCCCCAGCTCTTCCCAGGCTCCTCCCCAGCTTTGCCTCTTTTCCCCACTTCAAGACCAATTTATGTGGCCCAAAACTCTCAGATGTGTTGTCTCCCACTGGAGCATAGTTGACTTACCGGGGGCTACTACTCTCTTAGAGAAGACTAAGACTGTCTCTCCATCTACTGGAAATTAACAGTTGCCAATAGCTCTACAGTTAGTAGTGGGATTGTATGCCCACTCCTCTCTCCTGAGATTTGGTCTGGCTTGGGCTTGCACAAGTTTTGTGCATACCATTGCAATTGCTGTGAGCTCATATGTGCAGCTGACCTGATGTGTCCAGAAGACGCTGTTTTCTTATGGTCATCTACTATGCCTGGCTTTTACATTCTTTCTTCCTCCCCTTTTGCAATGATCCCCGAGCCGTGTGTGTGTGTGTGTGTGTGCGTGTACATGTGTATGCGTATATATGTTATAAATGTTCCCTTTAGGGCTGAACATTTTGCAGCCTCTTAGTCTCTACCTTGGCCAGTTGTGGGTCTGTGTTACTTACCATGTATTAAAAATAGAAACTTCTCAGATGAAGGTTGAGAGATGCATTGATTTGTGGGTATAATAGTAAGTCGTTAGGAGAGTTTAGTACTGTCTATTTAGTAGACTAATAGTAGGTTCTCTCCTAAAGCCTATGACCTGTCTAGCCATAGCCTGATAATGGTGCCAGGTATGGGTTTTATCTTGTAGAACAGAATTGAAATCCAATTGGAAAGTGGTTGATTATTGTCTTAGTTACTGTTCTTTTGCTGTGAAGAGACATCATGACCAAGGCAACACTTAAAAAAGAAAGGATTTAATCGGGGGCTTGCTTACATTTCAGAGGGTTAGTTAATGATTTAGAAGTCACACACACACACACACACACACACACACAAACAGAGAGAGAAGAGAGAGAGAGAGAGAGAGAGAGAGAGAGAGAGAGAGAGAGAGGGGGCTTGGCATGGGCTTTTGAAAATTCAAAGCCCAACCCCAGTAACACACCTTCCAACAAGGCCACACCTACTAATCCATCTCAAACAGTTCATCAACTGGGGGAATTAAGCATGCAAATATACGGGGCCATTCTCCTTCAAACCACCAGTTACTCTCTGTCCCAGTGGATATTTGTGGCTCTGTTACACTACTGCATGTCTTTCCAGGCCGCTCACTGTTGTAGCTCAGAGGGTTTCACCCCTGGCCATGATTGATGGCTGTTTTCTGCTCGAGCAGGAAGTGTGCCCTGCACCTGCCAGCACTA